CAGTCGTCTTGTATGCATTTGAAAGCTGGATATGAAAAAGGAAGACAGAAGGAGAATCGATGCATTAGAATTTTGGTGTTGGCAAAGAATAATGAATATATCATGGACTGCCACAAGAACGAACAAACCAGTCTTAGAGAAAATACAGTCAAAATTTCTTAAAATTTCTTCTAAGTTTCTTAGAAGCAAGGATGGTGATATTTCGACTGGCTTACTTTGGACATGTCATCAGGAAAGACCAATCATCATGCTTGGTAAAGGAGAGGGTCAATGAAAGCCCTTTGAAAACTTTTGAATACTCTAACACAACAAGGTAGCAGTACTCTTCCGCTGTTTGACTGCTTGTCAGAGGGACAAAAATCTGTGTGCTTTTGAGTACACTGGCTTGTGGCTAGGCATAGAATTAGAGCAGTCAACTTAAATCATTTATGTATAGACTTTCTCAGAACTAACCAAAAAAAACCCAAACCCATTGCTGTCCAGTCAATTCTGACTCATAGTGACCCTACAGAACACAGCAGAACTGCCCCGATAAGGTTTCCAAGGAGTAGATGGTGGATTCAGACTGCCAACCTTTTGGTTAGCAGCCAAGCTCTTATCCACTGTGCCACTAGAGCCCCCTTCTCAGAACTGCAGAAGTCTGTCATCAATCTATGCTTTCAGGACCATGCCCTTCTATAGAGTTTCTCATCTCAACACTATTGACATTTTGGGCTGGACAACTCTTTGTTTGGGGGTGGACACTGTCTTGTGCATTACAGAATGTTTATCAGCCTTCCTGACCACTCTCTATTCTCTACCCGTTTGATGCCAGTAGTGCAAACACCCGAGTTGTAACCATCAAAAATGTCTCCAGACATTAGCAAGTGTCCTCGATGGGGAGGATCAACCCAAACAGGTCTAGGACCACTGTTCTAAACCTATTTGGGTTCAAATTTAGAAGACTTTAGTTATTTTTTTAAAGCATTACTCAGTAATTTAACCAATATGTTTGTCCATTGATAGCCTAGTTTCTAAGTTTACCTAGACTTTTCCAATTTGCCAACAGACCAAAACAGTTAAGTAGGTTAAGAGTATTAATTATTAAAGGTTTTTGTTCTTTAGCAGAAAGCATATGAAAAATACTATTCATCTGAAAACACTGGTACTTCCTCTAAAGGTCTGGCATTGTATTTGATTGGGCTGTTCTTTCTGACTTCTGCTTGTGCTCATATAAACCTCGGGTAGGCCTACGTGACCTGCATGCCAAGTGCGAGGGCTAGACTGTGAGGCAGAAATGGTGAGGACCAGGGTTTGCACATTAACCCTTCTTTTCTACATAGTGAGCCAACTGTTCTTTATCTTTTTTTTTTTTTTTTTTTCAGGCTAGAGTTTTTCCCTAATTGCAACTGCCTTTAACAGAACAGTTAAACAGCATAGTCCTGGCCTGTTAAGATTCGGGACTTCCCATTCCTCTGTCCTAGGAAAGCAGCAGGAAGAGTGGCTCACACCTGCCAACCTCTCTCTCACCTCATCCCCTTTAGAAAGTGAAGAACGTGACCCAAAAAGATGTTCAATAGTAAGCACTGTGGTCACCTTTTGAACAAAGTGGACCACAGAACCCTATCTTTCCTAACTGACAATGTAGAGAACAAATCTGAGTTTACCTTATTTCAAGTTCCTCGAAAGGAAACCTAAAACATTCTTCTCAAAAGAAAACCCACTATTCCTAGGTGCGGGCATACTAGATGCATTCCGTACCAACTCCTTACTTTTGAAATGCACTAAGTCTGGTAAGTATAGGCCAGAAAATATCTAAATATCACCAGGATACAGACAGACACAGTGGCTGTAAAAATGGGCTCAAACATAGCAACTATTGTGAGGATGGCGCAGAACCAAGCAGTGTTTAGTTATCTTGTACCTAGAGTCACTATCAGCTGGAACCGACTCTACGACTCCTAACGACAACAGACAAACAATTACAAGACACAGTGACCAACAATAACAACAACAAAAAAATACAAAAACAAAACACAATAATTATAAAAGCAAAGCCCTTAAATCTGAAGTGGTGGTTGTTAGCTGCCTTCGAGTCGGTTCCAACTCATAGCGACCCTATGTACAACAGAATGAAACACTGCCCAGTCCTGCACCATCCTCACAACTGTTGTTACGCTTAAGCCCATTGTGCAGCCACTGTGTCAATCCATCTTGTTGAGCGTCTTCCTCTTTTTTGCTGACCCTCTACTTTACCAAGCGTGATGTCCTTCCCCAGGGACAGATCCCTCCTGATAACATGTCGTCTCACCATCCTTGCTTCTTAGGGGCATTTTGGTTGTACTTCCTCCAAGACAGATTTGTTCATTCTTTTGATTACTTAAACTTTACCAGTTACTATGTCAGTTGCAATCCCCAAAGATCAAACACTCACACCCCTGGCCCACTACTATTAACCTTCAAACCACGTACAGATCTGGCCCTTGTTATCATACAGGGGTTTTCAGCCTTGGTACTTTCAGCATTTTGGGCCAGATAACTCTTTGCTGTGGGGGCTGTCCTGCTCATGGGAGGGTGTTTAGCAGCATTCCTAGCCTCTGCACACTAGATGCCAGCTGTAGCACACCTTCTGCCCTGCCCCTGCCTCCTAGTCCCAACAATCAAAAAAATGTCTCCAGACATTGGCAAACATCACTGGGCATAAATCAGACCCCATTTTGAGAGCCAGTGTTTAATGGAAAGAGGCTTTGTGCTCTCTGCCTAGCACGGTGATAGCATGGAGGAAATACACTGTTGACGATGAGTCCGTTTCTTTAACTATGAAACAACTATGACTTCCTTCCCTTCACATTCTGCCCCCACAAAGTTGGTGTGAAGAGCAAGTAAGTTACTGTTTGTGAAGGAACTTCAATGTACAATTGCAATGCTCTCAAGAGATAAAAAGAATGGCAGTAGGCCATTATAATCAAAAGGTTTCCTCAGGGAACTTTCTATAAACAAGAAGACTAAGTAAATTAGTCTTGACTGAATTTTAAAACAGTTTGTTAATTATAAGAGAAAAAAATCTTATCTGAGAGTGCCACAGCCCCAAAAAGCTTTGTAAAACCACATTCTCTGATTAGGAACTTCTATCAGGCCAGGGTGTGGGGCTCTCCCTCAAGTACTAAGGCAGAATGTTCCCACCCCCTACCTCGAGTCAGGGGAGGCAGAAGAAACTAAAATGAGTGTGCACATCTCCTGCTCTCCAGCAGCAACAGTGAAAAACAGCAAGTAGTTCCCAGGTAAAGACTGTTTGAGGTATCTGCATGCAAATTCAAAACTCAAACAGGAAGGGGACATGTGCTACAAATCATGAAATGGCAGTGCTAAATCTCATGTACTCATTCCATGTCGACAGGCAGAGGACAGCAGGCCATGGTGGCTGGGCTCCAGGTAGGGAAATTCACAACAGCAATTTGATTTTCAGAAAGATCCAACTATAAAATGACAAAACAGTGGCCTGGAAATGCTTTGATTAGACTCATCATTTTAAAATTACCCAAATCAGATAAATACAAACAAAAATCACATAACCAGAACTTAAAAATGTAAGCCTATACAAAGGGGGAAAAAAATCTTTCCAGCAAGACAAATGAGTAAGGAATACGAGGAACCACTTCACAAAAGGGGAAAAAGACTTAGGCAATGAACAAGGCATATGTGCAACCTCTTCAACAGTCGAATAAAAGCAGCCGCACACACGTGGCTGATCGGACTTGGTACCATAGCTTCTCCTGTTCACTACTAGGGGGTTAGGACTTGGAACAAGTTTTCAGAAATCTTTTGCCAAGATACATCAGGATTCATTATAACGATCATCCCTTGTACTTTAGTGATGCCATATCTTGGGATCCAGGAAAGAATACAAAATACTAAATAAGCTTTAAATATTAATATAGACCTTCCAGTGTTATGATAGTTGAAAAATGGGGAGTAGCCTAAACAGTCCAATGACAAAGGAATGGTCAGGTAAACAAATGGTCAAATGGATGATGAGGCATCAGTTTGATAGAGCATTATACAGAAATGTAAAAAAATGGTTGCAGAGTCTATGTAGCAAATAAAAATCTTCGTAACATAATAGTAAGCTAAAAGTATAGTATATGAAGTATACTTTGCTATAATTTTAATTACATACATATTTCCTTCCAATTTTTTGTATCTATAATTCTGGAAGGAATCAGACTAAAATACTAACTTTAATTTTAGAGAGACTAAGTAATTTTTTTAAGAAAATTCTCTTCTTTCCATTTTAAAGCTTTGTGTTTTATACATTTAAAAATTAAATGTAAATAAAATTTTCCTAATTGATTTGGAAATAAATAATGTGATTCAAACTATATTGGTACCCCTCAAACACTACTTACTCCAAAGTTATAAGGACCAAAACAGTTGGAGATAATGAGTCGTCTCTGCTATTTTATTTTAGACTCTTAATTTTTAAGTTAACCCATTGACAGATATTACAGATGTCATTTGGGTTTAACATTAATGATGTGAAGCTCAACCAAGCTCAGCTTTGCCCTGTTTATCTTAATGTTTGTTAAATTCGGCACACATTTTAAATGACTATATCACTGTACAGGGATGAGAGCTACAAATAAATACAACCTATTTGAGATTTTTAATCTTATAACCAAGGCCAGTAAATTGGTACCAAAATAGCTTTTTTGCTACATCTCATCTCCTTTCTCCCCTCATGTCCTAACACAAATCTCCACAGGCTACAGTCTAGACCAGTGAGTGCACACTCAAACGTAAAACTTCCCAGCCTGAAGCTTCCATGGTCAAGTGAAAGGCCCTGGATTACAGTACCTGGATTCTCTCAATGGGCGGTATGTGTTTGTCTGACATCACCTGTGCATCTTAAGGGCAGCTGAAAGCTGGTGGGAAAGCACTCTGCAGACTACAAAGCACTGAACACATACAGGGAAATAATCCCTGAGAGTTAAAGAAAGAACAAATGTACAACAAAAACTGACCTCATATATAAAATACACTTTGGCTCCTACGTAGATTCCCATGCGCACTACAGCACGAACAGCAGCATTCATACCTGTGAAATAAACACAAATAATCATTATTTAAGAGACTTTGGGTTTAGACTGGACTAGGTTTTAATTCTAACCCTGCTATTAATTAACCGTAACCTTGGGTGAACTGCATCACCTCTCTTAAGCCTCAATTTCCTAACATGAAAAATGACTATAAGAGAAACAAAAATATAAAGGACAGTGTTTGGCATTTTGAGGGTTCATCAAAAAATAAATATCATCATAAAAGAGCCTATATACCACTTTCAGTTTGGAGTATCACTGCCAACTCTTTTGAGCAACTTTGATTTGGTATGAATTTGTAAGAAACTACATCCAATTGCAAAACAACATAACAGGGTATAGGTGTTTATTTACCTTTATCTAAAATCAAAGAAAATAATCCTTAAAATAACTATTGGTCTGTAATTTGAGGAGAAGATGAAAAATAAATTATTTTACCATCATCTGTTGTTAGCTGCTATGGAGTCAACCCCCAATTTATGGCGACCCCATGTACAAGGGAATAAAATGCTGTCTGGTCCTATGCCATCCACATGATCAGCTGTAGATCAGACTGCTGTGATCCATAGGATTTTCACTGGCTGGAGCCCTGGTGGCACAGTGGTTAAGTGTTCAGCTGCTAACCAAAAGTTTGGCAGTTGGAATCCACCAGCCACTCCTTGGAAACCCTACGAGGCAGGTCTACTCTGTCCTACAGGATCGCTATGAATCGGCACTGACTTGATGGCAGTGGATTTGGTTTTTGGTTTTGGTTTTCAGAAGTAGATTGCCAGGTCTTTCCTCTTAGTCCATCTTAGTCTGGAAGTTCCATTGAAACCTGTTCAGCTTCATAGCAACACACAAGCTTCTACTGACAGATGAGTAGTAGCTGTGCATGAGGTGCACTGGCTGGGAATGGAACCTGGGTATCCCACATGGAAGGTGAGAATTCTACCACTGAATCACCGCTGCCTCCATCCATCATCATCTACTATGAGTAGAAAAAAAAAATGTAGGCGATGGCCTTAAATACAAAACAAACTGCAGTATTATTAGAAGGCAAATTAAATTAGACCAACATACTATAAATGATCATACCTAACCAAGATAAATCTAGGACATTTTTCACACATTCCCAGGGGCCTTCACTTAAAATAAATTAAAGGTAGCTTTATGCAATGTATCATTTTATAAGTCTATTAGACATAATTATGCCTTCAACTTAAGTCCCATATTTAGAAACTGAAAGCTTAACTTGAATAGTTAACTGTGGGATGTATCCAACTGCCTAGTAGCGCAGTGAACAGGTCAGGCTTGTACATCTGCATCATTATCTTAGCGAATGGGTTAAGGCTAATGAGAAGTGAAAATGACTGACAACACACATTCCAAAAGACGCAGTCCTATGGCCTTCGGGAATAAGAGCACGTGCGCTTTCAACTAAATTTTTCCTATATATACAACAGTTTTGATTCTTATCCTTTATGAATTAAATTTCAGAAACAAGTGTCAAAATTAAAGATGCTGGGGAAGGTGGGTGATGAAATAAGTGATGCTTCTGGTAAACAAACAAATAAAGGAAATGTGGCTGTATGGGCATATACTCTGACGGGTAAGGAGACTAAATATCTGTATAAATTTGTATGGTAAGCTAGCTTCGAAGATGGGTAAATTTTTTTTTAATTATTTTGAGACAGTTCTGTAATCCTGGCATAAGACTGTTGCTTCTCAAAGGTCACTATTTTGAACGACAATATTCATTTAGCTGAAAAAGCTTGGGGTATGTACCTTGAAGATAAAGGCAGCATATATATGGTATATATAGGAGGGGGATGTGTGCTACAAATTGTGAAATACCTTCCACTGAAGTCCCATTTTTGGAAACTGAAAATTTCACTTGAATAGTCAACTGTGGCATGCATCCAACTGACTAGACCAAAGTGAACATTGCACACACACATATATATATTACATTACAGTACAGTATATGCATGTGTGTGTGTGTGTGTGTGTGTGTGTGTAGATAATATGTGTGTGTGTATATGTGCAAAGGCCTGGAGTTAGAAAACCAAAAGGGAAGAACATACTCGGCATTTCTCAAGCTGAAAGAACTGAAGGAAAAAATTCAAGCCTCAAGTTGCAATACTGAAGAATTATATGGGCAAAATACTGAATGACGCAGGAAGCACCAAAAAAAGATGGAAGGAATACAAAGTCACTCTACCAAAAAGAACTGGTCAATATTCAACCATTTCAGGAGGTAGCATATGATCAAGAACCCACCGTACTGAAGGAAGACATCCAAGCTGTACTGAAGGCATTGGTGAAAAACAAGCCTCCAGGAACTGACAGAAAACCAACTGAGATGTTTCAACAAATGGATGCAACACTGGAAGCACTCACTCATCTATGCCAAGAAATCTGGAAGACAGCTACCTGGCCAACCGACTGGAAGAGATCCATATTTGTGCCCATTCCAAAGAAAGGTGATCCGACAGAATGTAGAAATTATTAAATAACATCATTAATATTGCATGCAAGTAAAATTTTGCTGAAGATAATTCAAAAGCAGTTACAGCAGTACATCATCAGGGAACTGCCAGAAATTCAAGCCAGATTCAGCAAAGGACATGGAACAAGAAATATCATTGCTGATGTCAGATGGATCTTGGCTGAAAGCAGAGAATACTAGAAAGATGTTTTCTTGTGTTTTATTGACTATTCAAAGGCGTTCGACTGTGTGAATCATAAATTGTGGATAACATTGCAAAAAACGGGAATTCCAGAATACTTAACTGTGCTCATGAAGAACCTGTACATAGACCAACAAGCAGCTGTTTGAACAGTACGAGGGGATACTGGCGGGTTTAAAATCAGGAAAGGTGTGTGCCAGGGTTGTATCCTTTCACCATACTTATTCAATCCGTATGCTGAGCAAATCGTCAGAGAAGCTGGACTATATGAAGAATGTGGCATCAGGGCTGGAGAAGACTAACAACCTGCGATATGCAGATGTCACAACCTTGCTTGTTGAAAGTGAAGAGCACTTGAAGCACTTACTGATGAAGATCAAAGACCACAGCCTTCAGTATGGATTACACTCCAACATAAATAAAATGAAAACCCTCACAACCGGACCAATAAGCAACATCATGATAAATGGAGAAAAGATGAACGTTGTCAAGGATTTCATTTTACTTAGATCCACAATCAACATCCATGGAAGCAGAAATCAAGAAATCAAACAACATTTTATGCTGGGCAAATCTGCTGCAAAAGACCTCTTTCAAGTGTTAAAAAGCAAAGACTTCACTTTGAGAACTAAGGTGCACCTGACCCAAGCTATGATATTTTCAATTGCCTTACACGCATGCGAAAGCTGGACAATGAATAAGGAAAACCGAAGAATTGATGCCTTTGAATTATAGTTTTGGTGAAGAATATTGAATATACCACAGACTGCCAGAAGAACAAACAAATCTGTCTTGGAAGAAGTACAGCCAAAATGCTCCTTAGAAGCGAGGATGGCAAGCCTTTGTCTCACATACTTTGGAAGTGTTATCAGGAGGGACCAGTCCCTGGAGAAGGCCATCATGCTTGGTAAAGTAGAGGGTCAATGAAAAAGAGGAAGAACCTTGATGAGATGGACTGACACAGTGGCTGCAACAATGGGTTCAAACATAGCAATGATTGTGAGGATGGTGCAGGGCCAGGCAGTGTCTTGTTCTGTCGTACATAGGGTCCCTATGAGTTGGAACCAATTCAATGGCACATAACAACAGCACATATTCAGGTCCTGTCACCTTCATGAAGATTCCCTGACTTTCCCCTCTCCCCACTCCCCCTCGTTCCTGGCAGGATGGAATTGCCCCTTTCTCTTTATGCTCACGTGTGGCATTTTATTGCGCCTATCTGTTTACATGTACATATCCAATCCACTAAATCTGAGGGCAGAGGGCCAGTCTTACTTAACTTCTGCACTCCTAACATTCAACTCAGTGAATGCATGTTTCAACCCTCAAGTCTTAAGCAAACAAATAAAAGCTATTCAAGGTTCCTTCCAACAGATTCCATAATTCTAGGACTTCATTCGATGGTCACTGTGATGGATAAATTAACCTCAAAACATCTAGACACTATAAATACTGGGTACCTGGTGATAAAGAAGCACATTTAGTGCCTAACTTATAGCATTGTTTCCCATCCTTCTTTCTGAAGACCTAATTTCCATGAGGTCTTTCATAAAGGCATAATAAAAGGAAACAAATGTTGGAATTTCAGAAAAAGTGGGTAAAAAAAATGAAGAAATTATGAAAAGCAGGACATGACAGAGGAGGTAACCCACAGAATGAAAACATGCCCCAACTGTGATCTCTGCCCCACCAAATCTGAAGGCCTTCACACCAGCCTCTCTGCCTGAATTCTACCAATGCCTCTTCTAGGTTAACCTGTATTCTCCGGGGAAAATGGCAACTTTACCATAAAGCAGTAGTTCTCTAACTTTGGCCCACATCAGTCACGGGGGTGGGGTGGGTGGGGTGGCATTTAAAACACAAATTGCTGGGCCTTCCCCCAGAGCTTGTCATTTGCAGATCTGGAGTGAGGACTGACAATTTGCATTTGTAACAAGTTTCCAGGTAATGTGGGGACCACACTCTGAGATGCACAGCTCTAAGCAGATTTTATTCACCTGTAAATTAGTGTAACAAAGTTAAAATCAGCTTGCTCCCCCAACCCCCCCCCCAACCCTTAAATAGCTAGCAGCATTCCAAATTGGGGCCTAGAAGGGAAGCATCTAATAAGGTAATAGTTACTGTGTGCTCAGCATTGCAGTTAATTCTCACAGGAAGCCTGCTGAGGTAGTAATACCTCCCTGGAGACATGAGCAAGTTGACTCAGGATAAACTGATTAGCCAAAAAATTAATAAATGGTGATGCCAGAATCTTAACCCTAGTCTTTTATATTAACTTAAAAGACTTCGTAATTTCCTCTATTACAATGGCTATGTACTAGAATCAC